CAACAGTAAAAAAAAAAAATACAAAATTATTAAAAAATAAAAAATGTTTAAAACTCCAGCTGATTTGAAAAATGTTCCGGAGGACTTGGCAGCGAAAGGGTTAATGGCCTACTGTTTCAGGTGCTAGTACTGCTTAAAACAGGGCTTTTAGCTTTAGCTAAATGTCATGACAAGACTTTGAACATGAGCTAAGTATCAAACATAATTCAGGAAATAAGTTAGGGGGAGCCTATTAGAATGACTCATACCTGGATCTTTATATGCTTGTATACTCCAACAGTGAGGTCACTCTGCCATAACTCTTGACTTTGTTTCGGTCCACCTGGAAGTTTTATGTGTTCCTACCTGTTGGAATTAAATGCGTGACTGGTTTACATATGGTGGTCTTGTCCAATCACCCAGTTCTGGGACAGTGTAGACATGTTGGTCTTTTGACTGTTTGCTGCTTGACCCTTCTGTAACAAAATGTGTTTGGATAAAAAATATGGAGCCTGCCATTGTTGATTTTTTGGGGGGGGGTTTTTTGAAAGGGCCATAGACCTCATCTTGTCTGATTTTATTTACTGCATTCGTCTTTCATGTTATTGACTTATTAGGTAGTGAAGAAAGGGTCAGTATGACCGAGTATTGGCCTATATCTTTTGAAAACAATTTTACTAATGTCTGCTCCCATTTTTCTGTCCTGACAAGGTTCACTTTATAAATAGAAGAAAAAAAGCTGACAATTTGCCTGTTTTTTGTTTTTATTGCAGACTAAAGCCAATCTTGTAACGCCACGTAATGGGGAGCCACTGATTGCTGCGATTCAGGACTTTCTAACAGGTAAGTAGCATTTGAGCCCTAAAGCAATAAAAGCAGATCAGTGGCTGCAGGTTTGAGTGCTATCTGAGCCTAAGGTATAACTTCTAAAACCAATTATGAATGGAATGGAGTGCAGCAGGGTTTAAAGATTTTCTGTGCATTCAAGGGTTTCTGAGACCACATTGAGGAGATCTCAATGATGAGATAAGTAGCCTTACAATTGGCAGCATATACCAGCCAAGGGAAAACTGCATTGGTAAAGCGTGACTGATAGCAAGTTTAAGCTCACCAGCAGGAATAGATGGACACAACATTGTTACTTAAGTAAACTTCTTGCAGAAGTTAAAAAAAAGTATGTGTGTATGTATATATTATTTACCCACACATCACAAACGTCACAAAGCTGGAATTTGAAACTGCCTGTAATTCAAGGCTAACATACAATGAAGCTTGATCAGGTGTGGGGAGCACAGAACCAAGACCCCATAGGACAAAGTAATATGGCCTAATGAGTAATATTTCACCCTATTGCCTTCAGTTTAACCGGTTTAGGTTTGGAGAAAGCCGTCACTTTTAACATGCAATGTCTGGTGCCAGGTGTAAAACATGGTGAGATCTGTAATAGAATAGACTACCCGACTGAGAGCGTTATTAGCTCCTATGATTGCTTTGTATGTTTGTAAAGAAACCAAGAAATTGTAGATAATTGAATGGAACAGGTGGGTGCAAACACTTCCCATATGATGTTCCAATATTTTAGTTTTATACATTGCCAGAACAAATTAAACTGTAGTTTTATCAATACAAAGATGAAGTCAAATGCCTTCAGTAACCTCCCCAGTCATCAGACCAAAATATCATAACATCTTCCATAGAAAGTTTTAAAGCAGAATAGGAAGTATATTTCTACCTCTTTTATCACTCAACAAAATGGAGGTATTCCTTTTCCCTGTTAAGCTTTGACATCATGTTGTTGGGTGTTTACATTTTGTCTACTTTTTGTATGCATGTATTTTAACGCTGATATGTGACCCTGTTAAATACTTTCAGTTCTTTATTATAATCAGTTGACTTCTCTGCACTAAATGTTATCTTTATTCAATTCCTCTTTTAGCTGCCTATCTCCTTACGCTGAAAGACTCTTTTTTTGACCGTGCCAATGCATGTCAGATCATTGCATCTATTTTGGTGGGAAAAGATGAGAAAATTAAAGTTCGTCTACCACATCCAGTTATTCTTAGGGTATGTGTAACTTATAAAAAGTTAAGGGGCCTGACAAGTATTGAATATTCACTTGTGGTGTCAGCTGGTGCTTTGACAAGTTTACTTACTTTGCGTTTTTCCCCACTTTCCCAGCCTGTCACGTTATGGACTGGAAAGCAGATCTTTAGCATTATCCTGCAACCAAGTGTGGATAGTCCAGTCCGTGCTAATCTAAGGACCAAGGGCAAGCAGTACTGCGGTAAAGGGGAAGATCTATGCCACAATGATTCTTGTAAGCTTTTTTTTTTTGTATGGTACAGCTTTTTGGTCAGGGTTAACAATACTACTTTTGTTCTTAAAGTACAACTAAAGGCTCCTGTATGACCGCCTAAACAAGTATCCAATCCTAACACTATGTGATGTGCTAGCAGAGAGAACAGAAGACTTCATCTACCTTTCCTCGCTGAGCCAAATTTCCTTTGTTTGTGTTTCACACTTTCCCCTCCCAGACACTGCAGCTCACATTAGAAGTGTTAGCAACAGGCTGGGCAGGACCAGGAGTGGCCAGGTACTGAATGACCAGCTACATCATTTTTCATCCCACTGTAGTGCACGCAGGCACAGCATACATGAGAGGGGCAACTCTGCTCAGATTGTTAATTGCCACTTCCTTTACAGGAAGGTGCTTTAGGTGGACTTCGCTGTCAGTCTTCTTAGTCCCCCAAATACCTGTTGAGCCTAAGTGCAGATGCACTTATAATTAAACATATTTTGTTTTCAATAGGAGTCCATAGTTTTACTTTTAAGCTAATCTCCAAAATATGAAAAAAGTAATGCATTGTGTATTCCTTTCAATTTCATAAAACTTATTTTAAATTTAGGTAGGGTAAACACTGGAATATGCTTTATCAGCCTGTACCTCCATCCATAGCAAAACTCACGCTGGGGAAGGAAGGAACAGCACTAGGAGCCACTCAAGCTCTGCTGCATGTACATGTACTGCCAAGAGGAGAGAGCAGCGTGAGCAGATTTTATCAGTGTGTTTCTGCTCCTTCAGACTCCAGTTAGCAGAGGGGGGCGAAACCACTGTATTCATTAAGTCTAACAAGAGAAAGTAGTGTTGCCCCCTTCACTGATGCTGTCTGGCATGGCAGCACCAATATTGTTAAGTAGTCTTTCCTGACGGCACATAAAACACAGTAGGCATGACACATAGACTTGAGAATAATATAGGAGTTAGTTGCAGACCCTGTTCACAAAATGCTGGTTCCCAGGCTTCAATATGGTGAGTTAACAAATATGTAGATCGCTATGTTGGTGAAAAGTCCTGATGTACATACTACTTCTGGGTCAGTAACTGCCAAGTATTTATCTAAAAGGCTAACTTAACAGCTGGGGAACTAGCATTATAAGAAAGGGAGCTCGGCATTGGAAACCTTGACTAGTTTCCTTTTAGTTTCAGCTCTGGTCTTCCCCTGTAGCTGTTGTGGTCTTTTTTTTTTTTTTCTCAGGAACTTTCTCCCTGTACAAAAACTAAAATAAGTCAAACTTGAGGACTATTTTCACTTTTCTAAAAAAATAGTAGTACAAAGTTATTCACGATTATTAGTCTGATGCATGTTTTTTTTTCTACAGATGTGACCATTCAGAACAGCGAACTAATGTGTGGTACCATGGACAAAGGGACTCTGGGTTCTGGCTCAAAGAATAATATTTTCTACATACTCCTGCGAGACTGGGGACAGCTTGAAGCTGCCAATGCCATGTCACGTCTGGCAAGATTGGCACCTGCTTATCTGTGTGAGTGATGCATACTCATAGTAATAGATAATATATAAATAAAACAATTCAAATAGCAGTGGAATGTATACCTTTAGGGTTATGTTACTGTGTGTGGTTTTCAAATTCCTTGCAAACGCAAAGCTATTTGTATGCACACCAGTTCTGTCTTGGCAAACATCACTGCAGATCATTGCTTTGTCACTTTTTAGATTTATTCTTGCATCCCCCCCCAACAGAACCCTAGTCTCCTCCTATTGAAGAGGGCATCAACCTTAAAATGTCAAAGATGTGCTATCATATAAGGAACATCTAGAAATGTTAATTGTGCCTAAGCAGTACTCTGGAAAAAAAAAAAAAATAGCCTCATAACTGTGTCTGAAGTTTAAAATTCGGTGATGACACCACTGTACTTCTCATGTGCTTGCTAGAGGCAAGTCCCTGCCTCTACTAAGATCACCACCTTAACACAGACACCGTGCCTAACAAGGCTATGTAAGTTGGTAATAGAGGCTAGGTTAGCTGCAAGAAGACCACAGGCAATATATGTGACTAGTCCTTTTTCCTCTGACTTTTTTTAAGTACCGCTTTCCAGAGTTCAGTTCTTCTTTAAGCCTATTATGGAACTTGAAAACATTATAGGTGAAAACTCATTCTGCAGATGGTTTTAGTGGGGGTATTTAATCTAATACTGTAACATGTTTCCCTTTTGGATCCCTACAAAATAAAGCACAGGTCCTCATTTTGCATGGCAGCCTAGAAAAACAGGTAGCATTTATCCCTGGGCTGCACAACCGTTGCTATCCCACAAGCATCGGAATATCTATCACCTGGCGTCCTGGCTAATTCCATGTTAGTCATACAACATTCAGTTTTTGGCCAAGTGTGATCTGAAAGTAGGTCATCTGTAAAAGCAGGGGCTTTTGGAAAGCATGGACACTAAAAAGAATGCCTGTGTAATATTTGGGTCTGTAACCTTTACACTTCAGTCTTTCTCTTCTCTCGCTGTTTATTTGCTTTCAGTGAGACAAGAGGGTGTTCAGGAAGACCCTGAAAGCTAGAAAAAGGTTTTTAAAAAAAGAGGGGTTGTCTCTAAAATAATGCACATTCTTTGCTGTATTTCTAAATGTTAAGGTGGTGCTACTGTTGTTAATTATTGATCTAGGGATCCAAAGTGAAATATGTAGTCCTCCATTTCTGAGATTGCTTTGAAAATTCTAGTTCCTTGGCTGTACCTTGGTGCAATGCTTCGTCACTGACTTTGAACAAATAGTCAGAACTCCCAATCTGTTAAGTTATTTACGTTAATGATTCGCTCATTGCGTAGATGTGACATCCACTACATCTGGCCTAGAAGCACAGCATTTATTTCTGCTTTTCAGTATTGGTTTTGAGACCACCCCAACAATGTATTTCATACCATGTTGTCACCAACTAGGACCAAGTCAAAGACCCTCTGGCCACTTAGACAGGCCATCATGTCATCCCTGAAATTCTACCTAGTAAAGCATATTGTTCATATCTAAAGCAGGAAGCAATGCAGTTTGGGAGCAACCCCTTTCCCTGCCCCCCAGCTTTCAGCGTACTGGATTCCTCTGACCTACGTTATACAACTGATGGGAATAGTGTAGTTCCATATTCTTTAGCAGCAGATGTGAAGTAAGAAAAACCATGCGTGCAATAGCACTCTAGTGCTCTGTTTGGGAAGAGGTGGAATGGTTAACCACCTCGGGTTCTTGTCATTCCTTTGGTGGACTAAGCCATCTCCCTGGTTGCTATCCTGAAGGAGGATTTATTCATACTATATGTAAAACATTTTTCGATTCGATTTTGAAAGGTTGTTTTATAAGACGCTAAAATACATGTAATATCTCTTCTTGTAGCAAATCGAGGCTTCTCTATTGGAATTGGAGATGTCACTCCAGGTCAGGGTCTGTTAAGAGCTAAACAGGAACTTTTAGATGCCGGCTACAAGAAGTGTGATGAATACATCGAGGCTCTAAACACTGGAAAACTCCAGCAACAACCTGGCTGCAGTGCAGAGGAGACTCTAGAGGTAGCAACTGCTCTATTTACTTCTGTGTAAAATGTATTTTCATGTATTTTACCTACGGACCCTACCTATTCTATTTATTGCCACTTGTTGCTGGTCCCAAACTTTGTCAGGCCCTAAGATCACCATTTGATAATGGGTATTATTATTTTTAGTAAACGCTTATAATATTTAACCCCTTCGTGACGGAAGACGTACACTGTACGTCCCGCCACAAAGGGACCAAATGACTCATTTGCTGCACTAGAAGGCTGGTAACTGCTGAGAATCAGCGGTTATCATTCATTAATGGATGACTAAGTTTAGAGGCATCCATTAATGAAAGGGTTAACTTTTTTCAGACACCCGATACCTGAAGAGTCACAGCAGAGCCGGCAAACATGCCGGCTTTTGACGGCATTCTGACAGCTTGTATAGATCGAGAGATTCGCTACTTGAGGCCCCAGTCTGGATGCGGCCTACCTTGTCCTGGTTACCTAGGCCTCTCTTGGGGTGGGGGACGGGTGCTGTTTCAGTCCCCAGCGGCCGCCTGTTCAGGGCGGCCTCATCCGCGGCCGCCATCTTGCATATGGGCAACTTTGCCCTTTCGTTACGTCACTTCCGCCCGGGCTTCCTATAGCCTCGGGCGGACGGGGAGGGCATTCCTTTCGGCTCATGGACGCCGTGGATGGAGGTCACAGCGGCAGAGCTTCTCTCTGGGCCGGGACAAACGCAGGGGGTCGTGAGTTGCTGGGGGTCCCTCTCCCTTGTTTGGTGGTCTCTGGTCTGTGGGTGGGTACCGCATTGTCCCTGGAAGCTTTTTCTTCTGTCATGGCTGGGTTCGTGATGCGCATGGAGCGCGCCTTGACGCAGCGCCCTCCTAGGAAGCGGGCCCTGCCTTTGCCGTCCCCTGCCTTGTCAGGGGAGTTCGAAGAGGAGGGGGAACTGCCCACGCCATCACCTCATCCTGATCCGGGTGATTCCTCACATCCTGATTCTGCCAGTGAGGATGAGGCTGCGTCTACGCTCCTGGTCCAGGAACGTGAGACGGTTTCAGCGCTGCTCCGCGCTGTCGGGGAGACCCTTAAAATTGAGGATGTTGCCAGCACTTCCACGCTGCCGCATGTGCAGTTTGGTACGCATAAGGGCAGGCTTTCCGCCAAGGCGTTTCCTTACATCTCCTTTTTTGATGAATGTATTTAGAAGGAGTGGAAACGGCCTTCCAAGTCCTTTGGGCTGTGGCACTTTTGCGGTCCCTGTTCTCTGTCTCGGGCGCTCTCATGCGTCCGTTCTTGGCTTCGGCCTTGGTCTCTCAGACTCTGAGTGGGCTAAAATGTTACATCAGGGTCTTGCGGAGGGAAACGTCTCCCCCGCCTTTGTGGAATTGACGGACCAGTTGGTTCAGGGCCTTCGTTATGTCTGTAATTCGGCCTTGGATGCGGCGCCCTTGGTGTCCAGGGTGTCGGTGTCAGCGGTGACACTTCGCCATTTGCTCTGGTTTAAGTGCTGGTCGGCAGACCAGACTTCCCAGAAGGCTCTTGAAGAGTTGCCCTTTCCTGGGGATCGTCTGTTTTGGTTCCACCTTGGATGGATTCGCCTCTCTCTCTCCTTCATTGGTCGGCCCGGCTCCAGGGTCTGGCGGTCCGGGTCCAGTTGGACACCGCCACTTAGGTGGCGTACGTCAACCACCAGGCGGCACAACCAGTGTGGCCGTGGGTCGAGAGGTGTTCGGGATTCTGTCCTGGGCGGAACATCGACTTCTTGCTCTCTCAGCGCTCTACATCCCGGGAGTGGACAATTGGCAGGCCGATTACCTCAGTCGACGGTGGATCCGGGGGGGTGATCTCGTGGGGCCGCCCCTACGCTGTAATTGGTCTTTAGTTTTGTGCCTAGCGTCCTCCTCCTGCAGGTGGCAATATTACCCTACCATTCTACGATCTGTTGCCTGTGTCCTTCAATGAACGGAGAGAAAAGGATTTTACGGTGAGTACAAAAATCCTACTAAGTTTTAAAAAAAAGTGAAAAGTATAAAAAAATAGTAAAAAGTGTTTAAAAAATTAGTGTAAAAAAAAAAGGGACAAATAAATGTATTTATTGCATTTTTTTTTTTTTTAGCTGTGCTGGTTTTGTAAAAAAAAATACTACAAATCAAAACTGGGAAAAGTGTTTTTTTAAGGTTTTTTTTTTTTTCCTCTTTTTTTTTATATTTTATTTGTCCTAAGTGAGGCGTTAGACACACATATGTGATATAAATATGTAGCCCTATCGGTCCTCTAAAAAACAATATATAATATGTGTGGGTGCACTTTGTAAGAAAGTATATTACTGACGTGGAAGAATCACACAGCAAAAATGTCAAAAGTGTGTCAGTCATTTACGAACAGAAACGAAAAACAAGCTCAGTCATGAAGGGGTTAAAGTGGATCTAAACCTAGTCACAGGTCTCATATCTTTTAACATGACAAAGTAATTTTTATCCTTTTAAAAACTGCAGATTTTGTAAGACTATTGGCAATTCTGCCATGAAGCGTCTTGTTAAAGCTCCTTGTTCAGGCTAAAAACCAGTCAAAAACATTTTTTTTTGCTATATATTGTGACATTCATCTTCCCTTCTCCGCCTCCATTCACAGTGGGCCTTAAAGAATACAAGAGGTTTTCTGACTGGAGGAAGAGAAGAGCGAGTCACCCATTAACGTCACTGTATTAGAGCCAGGACTGTAGCGTTCAATGCCAGACGTTTGGTGCTTACAGTAGTGTCTGGGGATTAGTAAAAGTAATAGTTTTGCCTATCGCAGCAGCATCTGCACATTGGACACCCATCATTACAGGTCATTTATTTTTACATAGCATTTTGTTTTTTCCCAAAGTTCAGCTTTAAATGGGTATAAAGTGACATTGCTCTGTTACAGTCTCCCAATTGCTCTACTGCATAGTTGCCCTGTTTGTGTGCTTTATTTGGTGGCTTGAAGCGGCCATACCAACATTTATTGCACAGATATGTTCCACAGTTGTCACCAACCGGAAGCCCACCCTAAGAAGTGACCAGGAAGTGAGTGCGAATTGAGAGGCTGTCACCAACAAAGGAGGAAGAAAGTTAAAGCCATGTTTTATAAAAGAAAGGAAAAATAAACATGGTTAAGAAAAAGGTGCTTTAGCAAACTAAATTCATCTATGACTTGCATTTTTAACCATTAGGATTTATATACTTTAACTGATGAAACACAAATAAGTTTTACAGACTTCAAAATTGCTTTCAAAATGTTTACTAGTTTTTTTTACTAGTAGAAACTAGAGTATTAGTTTTAAGAAAAAAGAACATGTGTTTTCTAGCCCTAGTATCCGGTAATGCCTGATGCTTCACAACCAGCTGTATTGCTTTGTGACCGAAGGATATTAAACGGCAACCTATATTTATAGTATATAGACTTTGGGTTTGTGAATCTGGTTCTACTGATTTCTTTCCCCAGGCTTTAATATTGCGTGAGCTATCAGTGATCAGAGACCATGCGGGAAGTGCCTGTCTGAGAGAGCTGGACAAGAGCAACAGTCCACTTATCATGGCCCTGTGTGGATCCAAAGGTACGCTCATACTTTAGGTCAGAGGCTCTCAGCCTTTGTTGACTTGTCCACTTTCATGTGTTTAGAGCTGAGAATTGGAAAACATTGGTTTTCTATGGTTTCCCCTCATTTTGTTTTTTTTTTTTTTCTTTTAATGATCTTCAAAAGAAATATTAAACATTGCAATTAAGTTATGTAAAAACTTGTGTGTAAAAAGTAGGGTTTTTTTGTGTTTACCTCCCGGCCAGCCGCTGTGTATACACGGCCTGCCGGGAGCTTCTTGGATGTAACTGGGCGTGTATACACGTCCTGTTACATCCGCCCGCTCGGGCGCGCGCGAGCGGGAAATCCCCGCTATTTGAAAAGAGGCAGCGATGCCCGTTAATATACAAGCGATCCGCCGGCTATAGAGCCGGCGGATCGCTTGTATGAAGCCCCGAGACGTGCACTCTCTGCTTCATCAGCTTCTTCAGACATATGTTCTGTTATGTGGGTTACACTGCGGAGGATTGTCCTTTTGATATTTAGTCAGCAACTGCTGGAGTGTAGCCAGGGGTATATATGACCTCCATTACAGTGGTTAGGAATAGGTATGTTCTGTGATGCATGCACTAGCAGATAATCGGTCATGTTTATGGACCACTGCTCCTTGGTGTTCTATATTTTATTAAATCCTGGAGATTGATTTGAAGTGCTTTGCTATAATCCCAACTCTGTGATCTGCTGTTACATGCTTTTGATGAGTTGACAGTCCTGTAATAGCTGGAAGTGGCCCTATGTTTTCTTCCTCTTCGCCGCCCCCCTCCCCCTCACACCTAAAAAACACTGTTGAGTTACTTGATTTCTTGTGGAATTTGTCAGTGAATGTTTGAATCACTGTGATATAAGGTCATTCATTTAGAAGTTCTGCTATTGCATTCAAGGCATTGCTTAATAGTTTGGGGCGATTTAGACATGGGAAATAAAGGTCAATTATATTCAGTATTACAGGCTTCTTACCAGCAGGGGCTTTATTAGCATGGATTTCCGTCTTTACAGGCATTCTGTGGACAGCTGTTCACTAAACTTGACAGCTCTGTTCAAGTATTCCTCATGGTAAAAAAAAGAAACTTCAAAGATATTTTACGGGAAATATGTTGATAATACAAAGTCCTGTGTGTTTCTTTGTGGAACAAAATGAATACCTGATAATTCCATTAACCAAGATCTTGATTTCCATTTCATTTAAGATATGTACCTCATTGACTCTTTTTTTTTTTTTTGTAGGTTCATTTATAAATATCTCTCAGATGATTGCCTGTGTGGGCCAGCAGGCTATCAGTGGTTCACGTGTGCCTGATGGCTTTGAGAACCGATCTCTGCCACATTTTGAAAAGCATTCAAAGGTTAGTTAAGTGTTAACCTTTTTATTACTTTACTGTTTGTGGGGTTTTTTAAATTTGTTTTCTGGTGTTTGCTATATCTGCTTCTTTCAGTCACAGTAACTAATTTTCACACTACTCTTAAGGTAAAAGTAAAACACATTTTCACTTTAATCCTGAACCCAGGAGCTGCTTGAGCTTTTTAGTCACTTATTTGCCATATAGTTTCCCTGCAGCAGCAAGTATATACAGCTACAGCTTACACAGAACTCTCTCCCTTTACCTGTGTGACAGTGCTGGGTGCCACACACAAAGCACCACCGCTGTCATGTCACTTCACTTTTCCACGTGTAGGGATCAGCAGGAGAGTGAAGGGAAGACAAGTTTAGGCTACTACATGGGCCACCATTACCGAGAAGCTAATGCTCTACCCTCAGTTTTGATCTAAAGGTTGATTTTATATTTAACCTAATCCCTACTGATTTCCATCCCCTTGCAAATTATAACCCATTTTGTACTTTACTTGGATCAGCTGGCAACCCAGTCCTGGAGCTGCGACCTATGCAAGTCGATGCCTTGGTGCTCTTTTCAGCTGGCGAGAGTCATTTGGTACTGCCCATATGTGGTTTATTCTCTATAGGCCTTACTGACAAAGCTATCAGCAGGCCTGCGGAGTGCTTTTTCATTAGGATTTATAGAGAAAAGCCAAGGATGCACAGCTCCTCCAGCCACAGATCTTGGGGCAGGTTACCTGCTGATTTTAAGGTACCTCAAATGAATCTCAAAGCATCACTCCATCAATGCTAAAATACCTTGCAAATCTAATTTCATCTTTACAGCTTCCAGCAGCCAAAGGGTTTGTGGCAAACAGTTTCTATTCAGGACTGACACCTACAGAATTTTTTTTCCATACCATGGCTGGAAGAGAGGGTTTGGTGGACACAGCTGTCAAGACAGCAGAGACTGGTTATATGCAGGTAAATCCACTATCTGTATTTTCCACTTATGCAGGTTTGACTCGATCTTTTTGTGTTTTTATTTTCCGCTGTAAATATGGTATTTACCAAAATCCTAAACGTGCTAATTGTTTACATGTCCAAAAATTGCAAGTAAAACACACTCTTACTGATTTATTAACCACTTCCGGGCCACAATACGTCCTATAGACGGCGGCCCGTTAAAGTGGTGATGGCTGTTAATGTACAAGCAAGATGTCTGTACAGCCGCCGGATCGTTTGTACCGTGCGGCGACAACCCCCCACCCCGCGGCCGCCGTTGTTTTCCC